GCAAAGAGAGGAGAGATGAGCCTTCCTCTTGGATCCAATGCCACAGGCAGGAGAAAAAGGGTTTTATTATACAAAGATGGCTCACGGCTGATCACCATGCATGTGGACCTTCTCAAGAAATATTAGCATTGCAAGCATCAGTGCCCAGCGTGAAACACTTGGCAGATTATCTTAACGATTTTGTTAATCCAGCAGGAGCCTGCCCGCCTCTGCGGTGGGCCAACTCACAGTGACTGTTGAGATGCTATTTTGCTTGAATGCAAAGAAGAGAGTAAGAAAAAAATTATATATATATGCAAATTTAAATTTTTTTTTCTGTGGCTCAAGAACTTCAAGCAGTTTCAATGTCCAATGGAAAGAGCTCAGGGCACTATCGTTTCTGAAATACTAGTTCTCTTATTTGCTGCCAGTGGTCAGATTGAAGGTATAGCCCAGGGCACTGGTTTGCAGGAACATGTATTTTCTTTATGAAAATTAGTGACCTAGGGGTAGTGAGTTGTCTTTCTCTGGGCACTGAGAGCCACCCTATGGCAGATAAACAATAAGGTGAGAAGTCTGCGGTATGGGAGCACCGGTGCATCCTTGTGCATGCTTTCTGAATGTGTATTCTGAAACCTGAGCTGGGGGTGAGGGGCTGGGGGCAGGGGGGGGGGGCAGGGGACAAGCAGCCGGGACAGGGGCCCACAGCTCATATCTTGCCTGTCTACCTGAGCTACCCCAAAGTGGTTCTGCTTGTATTCTTTGTTTTCCTTTCGCTCCCCCCTTCCTTCTTCCTTTTGCTGCAGCAGTAGGTTTGCAAATCTTTTTTTTTTTTTTTTTTTTTTTTTTTTTTTTTTTTGAAAGGCCGAGAGTTACAGAGAGGCAGAGGCAGAGAGTAAGAAAGTGAGAGAATGAGCTGGCGCCGCGGCTCACTAGACTAATCCTCCGCCTTGCGGCGCCGGCATACCGGGTTCTAGTCCCGGTCGGGGCACCGGATTCTGTCCCGGTTGCCCCTCTTCCAGGCCAGCTCTCTGCTGTGGCCAGGGAGTACAGAGGAGGATGGCCCAAGTCCTTGGGCCCTGCACCCCATGGGAGACCAGGAGAAGCACCTGGCTCCTGCCATCGGATCAGCGCGGTGCACCGGCGGCGGAAGCCATTGGAGGGTGAACCAACGGCAAAGGAAGACCTTTCTCTTTGTCTCTCTCTCTCACTGTCCACTCTGCCTGTCAAAAAATAAAAAATAAAATAAAATAAAATAAAAAGAAAGTGAGAGAATGAGAGAGAGAGAGAGAGAGGTCTTCTATCTGCTGGTTCACTCCCCCAATGGCCAGCCGCTCCAAATCTCAAGAATGAGGGCAGCAACATTACTACAGATCCTATAGCTCTGCAGCAAGTCCTGTAAGTATTCAGCAGACACAGTGCCGCCAGGCACACTAAAAGGATAATAAAGGAATGTTATCCAAAAACTTCACACCGATGAACTTTATGAGTAACTTAGACAAAATGGACAAATGTCTTGATAGGACACAAATTATCCAAGCTAGTTTAAGAAGAAATAGCTTCAATGGTGCTATAGCTATTTTAAAAAAATTGAATTTATCATCAAAATTTTCCCACAATGAAAACTCAAGGTCCAGATGGCTTACCTGGTGAATTCTAACAAAATGTTAAGGAATAAATAATACAAATACTACCCAAAACCTTCCTGAAAATCAGAGAGGAAAGAACATTTGCCAATTCAGATATCCTGGCAAAGACATTACAAGGAATGAAACCCAATGACTAATATCCTTAGTGAACATAGATGCAAAAATTTTAACAAAGTTTTAACAAATAAATTCAACAATATATAAAACCATAAAACTTCTTGACCAGTGCAGGGTTGGGCAACTTGAAAACTAATGAATATTATTTACTGTATTAATAGATTTTTAAAAATCATTTCAATCCATCAGAGCAAGCATTTGATGAATTCAACATCTATTAATGGTAAAAACAAAACATACAAATGAACAACAGCACTACAAAATCCTTTCAGTTCACTAGCCATAGAAAGAAACTTCTTTAACCTGATTGTTTTGGGGAAGCCCAGGATATGGCCATCAAAGTTGGAGGTGCCGTGAGATGGAAGAAAGAGGCAGACAAATCCAGTATCTCTCACTGTGTAATTTGTTAGAGAAGTATGACCTCTGTGGCCACAGACAGAGGATACTGTGCTAAGAGGCAGGATAAAAAGGGTTCTGTTATACAAAGGTGGCTCATGGCTAATCAAAAAGCATGGGAATTTCTTAAGAAGTATTCCATACCAAGCAGTCAGTGCCCAGCATGAAACAGTTGGCAGATTCTCTTAGTGACTTCGTTAATCTCACATGGCTTGAGATGACCGCCAGGGTCACCTAAAGGCCAAGATGGCAGTTACAACCAAGATGGTGTACACAAACAAATCTGTATCTAATATCAGTTTAGGTGAAAGATTGCATGCTTTCTAAGATTGGAAGGAAGGTAAAAAAAGTCAGCTCTTACACCATTCTTGCTCAGCATAAGGTTGAAAGTTCTAGCCAATGCAGTAAGGCAATAAAACAAAATGGAAAGCATACAAATCAGAAATAAAGTAAAACTCGGATGGGCATTTGGCAGAGCAATTAACATGCTTCTGGGGATGCCTGCATCCCATGGTGGAGTGCCTGGTTCCACTTCCAATTCCAGCTCCCTGAGGGTGTGCATCCTGGGAGGCAGCCATGATGGCTCAAGTACTTGGGAGCCAGCCACTGGCACGGGAGGCCCAGAGAGAGTTCCAGGCTTCTGGTTTCAGCCTGGCCTACTCCTGGCTATTGTGAGCATTTGAGGAGTGGGCCAGTGGGTGAAAGATCTCTCACTGTCTGTCTCTGTCTCTGTCTACCTCTGTGCCTTTCAAATAAAGTCAGAATTTAAAATATTAAAAAGAAAAAAATTATGTATTTTGAAATAACATAATAATCTATTTAGAAAATCCTAAGGAAGTCAAAAAAATTTACATACTTGCTAATAAATGAGTTTGCAAGATTACCAAGTCAATATACAAAACTCAATTGTATTTATTTATACTAAGAATGAACAATCAGAAATTTACCTGGCTGCTTCACTTCTGATCCAGCTCTCTGCTTTGGCCTGGGAAAACAGTAGAAGATGGCCCAAGTCTTTGGGCTTCTGTACCCACGTGGGAGACCTGGAAGAAGCTCCTGGTTCCTGGCTTCAGGTCAGCTCAACTCTGGCCATTGAAGTCATTTGAGGAGTGAACCAACGGATGGAAGGCCTCTCTCTCTCTGGCTCTACCTCTCTCTGTAACTCTTACAAATAAATACAATAAATCTTTAAAAAATGTATTTTAAGTACCACTTATAATAACACCACAAATATGAAATACTTAGGCATACATTTGACAAAAGACGTGCAAGATCTGTATACAGAAAACCACTGAGAGAAATTAAGGAAGACTTAAATATGTATAAATGGAGAGGTACATTGTTTTCATGAATCAGAAGACCTGGTATTGTTAAGATACCAATTCTCTCCAAATTGATTTAGAGAATAAATGTAGTCCTAATCAAAATCCCAGCAGGCTTTAAAAAAATTAAGAATTTTTAATTGACGTGCTGATTCTAAATTTACATGAAAGTGCAAAAATATGTGCATAAGAATGCAAACTTTATTTGGTGATTTGTTTAGAAGCCCCTTAGGCCCTGTCTAACCTGAGGGTCTAGGCTCTATGGAGTTTAAAGGTGCACGGCTAACTAAACACATCCCTTGTACTTCATTTTTACTCGGGCTGGTTAGAACCTTCTTCCTCTTCTGGGGTTACTGGGTCTTTTATAACAAGTCAGCTGCAAGACTTAGTGCCTCACTGCCTGCCCCACACCCATCTTCAACCACCCCTGGATTCCCTAGGGCCACCAGCACAAAAGCACGCCTCTCAGATAATGGAAATTTTGTTCTAAATGCTTATTTTAGCTTGAGAAAGAGCCACCATCTCGTGCCTCTATTGCTCATATGTCTGCCGTGTTCTGTGGCGTTTGCACAGCTGAGTGGTTCTGCTGTCCCTCCACCCGCTCCCCCCATTTCTGATGGCTGTCTCACCTCCAGATAACCCACTAGGGACCTGGTGGGTGCTGTGATGGGAGAGAGGGGAGGAGGGCAGCCACTGAGAAAAGACATGGGCCCTGCCATGGAGGCCTCAATGAAATGTTCAGAGGCTGGGACGATGGTTCCCATAGAGCCATCCAGAGCTGAAGAGACGCTATAGCTTCCATATCGCCCCATTCCTGGCTCCTCGGGTTTCTCAAGCTATCGGATGCCTCCTGTCTCAGATTCCTTCAGGATCAGTGGCTTGAGCTTTGGCCATGGGCCTGAGCCCTGGGTTTCCTGCTGGGTCCTCTGAAGATAGATTTTCTTTTTCCCTTTGCTCGTCCTTGGAGAACGTTTCCTGCTTCATACTCAGATTTCCACTGAGACCAAGCAGCCTTAGCTGTGCAGACGCGGGGAGCTGAGAGATGAGTCTAGAGAAATGTTTGTACAAATTTTCAGGATTGGGATGATCAGAATCTACAAGGGACTAAACTCATATCTACCCTAATCTGATATCTCAGTCCCCAGATATTGCAGCACCAGGATTGCAGCACAATGTATTTGTACCCGTGCTTTTCCATGACTTTCCATATAGCCTTCAAGAAATTTCCCACCCATCCTCAAGGGCTTCACCAATGAACTTGAAAGGTCATTGCATTGATCTTTTTAAAATATTTATTCATTTATTTGAAAGGTGGAGTTACAGAGGCAGAGGCAAAGAGAGGTCCTGCATTCACTGGTTCTTTCCCAAAATGGCTGCAACAGCCAGAGCTGTGCCGATCTGAAGCCAGGAGCCAGGAGTTTCCTCCAGGTCTCTCATGAGGGAGCAGGGGCCCGGGACTTGAGCCATCTTCTACTGCTTGCCCAGGCCATAGCAGAGAGCTGGATTGGAAGTGGAGCAGCCCAGACTCCAACTGGTGCTCATATGGGATGCTGGTACTGCAGGCGGTGGCTTCACCCACTCTGCCAGAGCGCCGGCCCCAGGGTGTATATGAAGGCCTGTTGGCCACCAGATAATTGCATGCTTTGAAAGGTTTCTGGGCAATTCTTGAATGGTTGAAAATGCCCTGTTTCATCTGCAGCCCCAGGGTTGACCCTGGAGCCAACCTGGCCAAATCTGAATGATGAAAGCCAATCACAAACTCAAAAATAGGCCCCAGATGCAAGGAGATGAGACAGTTAGGTTTACTTCCCGTTTTCTAATTTGAGTGGTTTCACGCTGAAGAAAATCAGTGTGCTGGGTTGCAGGAGACCTAAACACATTCACGATGAAGCTAGGCTCTGTCTTCACGAGCTGGACACTCCACCTTTCCCCTGGGATGCTCTGGGCAGCTCTGATGTTTCTGGGTAAGTAGAAAGCTTGGATGTTGGCGTGGGCAGGGAGACACACCTGCTTCAGGGAAAAGACTCAAGGTGAGAAGGAAGCAGTGTTCAGAGGCAAGGCGTAAGAAGAGATTTCGCTTGTGTGGGATTGAAGACTGAATGTAAAATTCGTCCAGGCTTTTCTATCCTAATAGTTCCCTATGACTAGGATAACTTCTCTAGCTACAATCTCGACTCTTTCCACCCTTTTTTGAGATGAGGTTCTTGCAAAGGTAGACTGCACTTGCTCTCTCTGCTGCCCCACTCACTGCTCGCACTTGTGGGCTGGCGGTCACTGAAGTCAGTACTGCACAGAGCACAGTGACCGGCACGCTAAGCAGGCCTTGGCACACCTTTCCAGCGTATCCTGCTGTCTTCTCTGCTCACTGGGCACGGGTGATCACTTAGTCCTTCTTGGCCTTCTCCGCTCCCCCGGCTCCCATGGAACTATTTTCTCCCAGTACTGCAGGTGCTTCTCTGGGTTCTTCAGTAGCGTCTCTTCTCTTCTCCTTAAATAGTAAAGTTGTCTGTAGTTACATCTTTGCCTCTCTATGCTGCTTTCTTTACACAGTCTCCTTCATGAGCTTATTTGTCTGCATATTTTTTCCCACTACAATTCAATTTTTAAGAGTCCCAAATCATATCCCTAGCAATGCTTTGGAACTTCACATTTAATTATCAAGCTTTGCTTTGTCTCACAAGTATCTCAGCACAATGTGACCGGGACTGAATTAATCTGTCCTTGGGGTCCCCACCTCTTCTAATTCATCTTCCACTATTTCTGACCTCTGGTGGCATCTTCATCCATCCCACCACCTAGCCCAGAAACCTGAGAAGCAACCTGGACTCTGCCCTGTCACTCTCTATATCTGGCCAATCACCGAGTTTGGCAAATTTTATCTCCAGAGTTGTTCTTAGAGCCAGCCCCTTCTCTGAAACATCTCTAATGTCCTAAGATGAGCCCTCATCATTGACAATTTGAACTCACTCCATAACATTGTTTCTTCTAAGATTTATTTATTTAGAAGGCAGATTGACAGACATAGAAGGAGAGACACAGAGAGAGAAGTCTTCTTTTCTTCTTTAAATATTTATTTATTTGAAAGTCAGAGTTACACAGAGAGAAGGAGAGGCCGAGAGAAAAATCTTCCATCTGCTGGTTCACTCCCCAACTGGCCACAACGGCCAGAGCTGTACCGATCTGAAGCCAGGAGCCAAGAGCCTCCCCTGGGTCTCCCACACTGGTGCAGGGGCCCAAGAACTTGGGCCGTCCTCCACTGCTTTCCCAGGCCACAGCAGAGAGCTGGATCAGAAGTGGAGCAGCTGGGAGTCAAACTGGCACCCACATGGGATGCTGGCACTGAAGGTGGCGGCTCCACCTGCTATGCCACAGTGCCAGCCCCGAGAGAAGTCTTCTAACTGTTGGTTCACTCCCTAAATGCCAGGGTTGGGCTAGGTTGAAACCAAGCTCCATGAACTTCATCCAGGTCTCTCATGTGAGTGGCAGGAACTCAAGGGCTGAAGCCATTATCCTCTGCCTCCCAGGCAAATTCAGCAGGAAGCTGGATTGGAAGTGGAGCAGCCAGGACTCTCATTAACACTCTGAAACAGACAGAGTAATTTCTTTTTTTAAAGATTTATTTTATTTCTAAGTCAGAATTACAGAGAGTGAAGGAGAGAGGTAGAGACAGACAGACAGACAGACAGAGAGAGAGAGATATCATCCATCCACTTGTCCACTTCCCAAGTAGCCACAATAGCCAGGGCTGGACCAGGCCTAAGCCAGGAGTCAGGAGCTTCTTCCAGATCTCTCATGTGGGTTCATGGGCCCAAGTACTTGGGCCATCTTCTGTTGCTTAGAAGTGGAGCAGCCAGGACTTGAACCAGCACCCACATGGACTTGAACCAGTACCCGCTAGACCACAAATAAATAATAAATCAAATAAATCCCAATCTGCTTATATTTACATATTCACACAGCAGACTCTTACCTGCCTGCAAGGCTTTGATTGTACGGCTGCCCCTGCCTGAAATGAGCTCGCTCCATGGGTTCCCGTTCCCCTGCCCTTTATAAACTTTAGGTTTCTTTTAAGGGGCATTTTCTCCAGGAAGCCTTCCCAGAACCCTCGTTTCTGCTCAGGTGGATGCCTGGGAAAAATTTTTTTAGAGGGCCCCCCCCCCCCCCCCCCCACCTTTTGCTGCAAACAGTCTCTTTGTATGCATGTGTCTTCCACTACACTTAAAGCTAACTGTGGGCCGGGACATGCTTCTTCAACTGCAGCCTTGGAATTAGATAGTCTGATTTCAAGCCCCTCCTTGATTTACCAGCTCTGTATCACCTTGGAAAGGGGACATTTTTCTCACTCTGATTTGACTTTCTCACTTGTACAGCGAGAATAATAATACCGGCCACACGAGATATATTGAGTGAAAGTGCCAGATAGCCCAACAAGGTTTTGTTTTTAAAAAAGAAACGAGCAGAGGCAGCTGAGTGCAGCTGAGTGACAGTGGAGGAACCGAAAGGAGGTAGAAAGCCTGTGAGAAGCTCTAAAGCGAGCACCTGGGCCTCCTATGATGCGAATCAGGAAGTAGGAGGGGGCCCTGGTAAGGGAAGCTTCAAGGTCAAAGCAGACCACGGAGCCACTGGGATGGAAGGGGCCAAAGGCAAGTGGGACAGAGAAGGTGAGCACTGTGAGTGGCTGTGGCTGGAAGAGGGCACGAGGGGAAGGAGATGGTATAAGTAGCACCGCCCCTGCCTGGATCATCACCGAGGTAAGGTGTAGGTTGAGGAGATACAGTCAGAAATCCACACCTCTACGTTTCAACCCAGAAACAAAGAATGACGCTACAGTTCCCAATGTACAGACGGGGAGTAGTGGGTCTGGGGTGCAGAGAACCCACTGTTGACAGGGAAAGCTCAAGAGGACGTTAAGATAGAGATGGGTCAAAGACCAAGACCTGAAAGGGGGAGTGAGAAAGGAGAGACCCAGCTAGCTACGGGAAGCTCTTTGGCATCCTCACGGCCTAAGAGCCAAGTGAATTTTGGGAAAGTGAAAATTCAGAAGAGAGCCCCTAAGGAGGGTCTGCGGACTGCCGTAGACCACGTCAGCGTGGTGAAGACAAAGAACACTGATTTTGGACTCACACGCACCTTTCCTATTCCATTGGTCATTTACTTTTCTACACGTGTTTGTTCACGATTTATAACATGGGAATGAAGTCACTTACATGATGAAAGCAGGTGAAGGTTGAGTAGGATAACACATCAAAGTGCTAGCCGATGGTCATGACCGTTAGAATCTGATGTCTTCCTTTCCCTCCTGTCCTGTGCCTGCTGCCCTGGGTTCACCGTTGTCTTTGGCATCTGGTTGCCTGCACCAACAGCTGGATGTCATTCTGGTGAGTTCACTGTCTTCAATTGTCTCCCATATCTCTTCCTTAGACCACGCTCTGTTCCTTGAGATCACACCAGCTTAAAATTACTCACTTGAGACTCTTTGGGGCCTCTTGGAAAAAAGGTGTTGGTGTCTCCCTAGTCTCAGGAGAGGGAGAAACTTCTGGGGGGGGGGTGGCGATTTCCTGTCCTATTTCTCTGAATTGCAGCATCATTGTCTGGATCTCCCTGGACCGTGCCATCTTCCGCTGCCAATCTTGAGACTCTGCAGTGTGATGGACCCATCAGCACCAGGAAGAGCAGCTGCCACACTGATGCTGACCCAAGGGACGATGACTACGAAATCAAAGCCTACACTTTCAGCGAACCCTTCCATCTGATTGTGTCCTACGGTGAGGCCCTGGGAAGGCCCTGTCGAGTGCCCTAAGCCCCTCCTTTCCATCCTATAGCCCACTCAGGAAGGTTCTCCCAGAACTCTGGCCATGTGATGAGGTACTTTCTTCCCCCACCTTCAGCCCATAGCAACTGGGGTTCCCTCAGTCCTAGGCCCTAGAGAGCTTGTTCCACATTCTCGACCAGGGGTGAGAGTTGCCTGGACCCTACTGTGGGCATCACTGGGAGACCTCCCAAGGGAAGCAGTGGGTAACACTCAGCTCTTGCTCTTCTGGACCACAGACTGGCTGATCCTCCAAAGTCCATCCAACCACCTATTTGAAGGGGACCCACTGATTCTGCGCTGCCGAGCATGGCAAGATTGGCCACTGACTCAGGTCACCTTCTACCGAGATGGCTCAGCCCTGGGCCCCCCTGGGCCCAACAAGGACTTCTCCATCGCTGCGGTGCAAAAGGCAGACAGTGGGCGCTACCACTGCAGCGGTGTCTTCAGGAGCCCTGGTCCTGGAAGTCCAGAGACAGCAGCTGCCGTGGCGATCACAGTCCAAGGTGAGAGCTAAAAGCAGCACTGCCAGGGTAGAGGCAGATGAGGTGGGATGAGGAGCCCAGAATGGGGGTCTTTGGGCCCGAAGAGGAAAAGGCCACGGAAGGCTTGGGATGTGGTTGCTGGAAAATGCCCAAGTTGGATTTCCAGGAGGGGCAAAAGCTAGGCATTGTTTTTTCAAGTCATTCAGCACCACCCAGTTGGGCATGTTTCACACCCAACTGGGCATGCTACCCAGCATTTACTGATGGGTTGTGAGGACTCTTGTAGGATTTGTCTACCTCTGGATCTTATCTAGTCCTGTCTCCTGGAAGACAGTCAGAGCTTGACAGATTCAAATGCAACCTTTCTTGTTTTTCTTTTTTTGTTTTTTAAATATTTATTTTATTTATTTGAAATCAGAGTTACAGAGAGAGGTAGATCCAGAGAGAGAGAGGTCTTTCATCCATTGGTTCACTCCCCAAATGACTGCAATGGCCAGAGCTGAGCTGATCTGAAGCCAGGAGCTTCTTCCAGGTCTCCCACATGGGTGCAGGGGCCCAAGGACTTGGGCCATCTTCTACTGTTTTCCCAGGCCATAACAGAGAGCTGGATCGGAAGAGGAGCAGCTGGGACTAAAACCAGCACCATATGGGATGCCGGTGCTTCAGGCCAGGGCTTTAACCTGCTATGCCACAGCGCTGACCTCCCAAATGCTCTCTTCTGAGACAGCCCAATCATGGTGGAAATAAGGAAAAGGAAGTAGGACTGGGGTTCTTTGCCTGTCCCAGGTCTACCTGAGTATAGGACGGCTCAGCTCTTCTTTCTCACCTCTCTTTCCCCCAGAACTGTTTCCTGCCCCGGTTCTCCAAGCTGCACCTTCTGGGTCCCAAGACGGAAGCCTGATGACCTTGAGCTGTCAGACAAAGCTGCCCCCACAGAAGTCAGCCACCCGTCTCCTCTTCTCCTTCTACAAGGATGGAAAGCCAATGCGCAGCAGGGGCCGCTCCTCGGAATTCCAGATCCCCATAGCTGCAGAAGAGCACTCTGGGACCTACTGGTGTGAGGCAGCCACTGAGGACAACCAAGTTCAGAAACAGAGCCCCCAGCTGGAGATGAGGGTGCATGGTGAGTTAGTGTGTGTGTGTGTGAAGTTGGGGAGGGGAGGGTGGCTGGGTCCATGACTGGGATTCAGTGTGACGAAGTTAGGAGGGAACACAGAGGAGGCAGGAGCAATAAGCCAGAGTCCCCGAGGTTGAAAGGCAACACAGACAGCAAAGCCCTCCCTCAGATTGGGCTGTTTCACCACTGCCCCAAACTAAGACCCGAGCCAGCTCCATTCCTGCTTCCCCATAGACCTTAAGGGCCTGATGTCATCTCTGGGCATTTGCAGAGCATAACAGATACAATATGGTATCTTCATCTGATATGAGGATGAGGTAGTCCAGAGATAATAATCAATTCTTGGAGCTACCATTAAGAAGGCTGCACTTGACCTGAACTACACCCAGGGGAGATGTTAAGGGTGATGAGGGGTCTTGGAGGCTTGTCATATGAGAAATATTGGAAGGGACGGGGTGGGTGCTCTTTCTGAGAAGGAGATGACTCAGGGGCCCACAGAACGGTCCTCAAAATGAGGAACTAGCCTAACGTCATCTATAGTACAGAGCTTGACCTAGGTCTGTGCTTCAGGGAATGAGATTCTGCTTTGCTAGAAGAGGAATTGGCTAATAGTCCCGACAAGGCCTCATCACCGAAGACTTTTAAGCAGAGGTAACCAAGCTTTAGATCAAAATTTGGATCGGGAGGGACACCAGCGTCCTTAAGTCTCTACTGCCATGGGGCCCCACAACCACCTTCAGAGAACAGGAGAGATTGCGCAGGCTCGTGAGGGGAGAGCAGGGCCAGACTTCACTCTTGTCCGTGCCTCCTGTCCCACCATCCAGCTTCCTCCGGCACCGCTGCACCCCCCACCTTGAATCCAGCTCCTCAGAAATCAGCCGCTCCAGAAACTACTCCCACTGAGCCCCCTGGGCCTCCGCCTCCACAGCCAACCCCTGCTTCTGAGGATTCGGGCTTCTCCTCTCCTCTGAGGGCTCCAGACCCCCATCTGTATCACCGGATGGGCCTTCTTCTCCAGCACATTCAGGATGTGAGAGCTCTCCTCGGTCATCTGGTCATAGAGCTGAGGAACTTGTCTGGCCACCTGAAGCCCGGGACCACAGAAGCTCCTGCAAAATGAAAGCAAGCGATTCGCCCGCCATATTGCTGGACCAGCTCCAATAAACCCAGCTCTGTCTATGTTTCTCTTCCTGTCTTGCCCGTGTGCACAAATAGTTGTCCTGGTGTTTGGTAAGAACAATAGAGACAGGTGAGCGTAAATAAATGTGTGCAAAGCGATCCCTGGAGTTTGGTTCTGCTTGTGTAGTCTCTGTCCACATAACAACAGAATTCTGCTTTCTCTGGACTGGCAATTTCCTTCTGTTGCTCCAACCAGAACCTGGCGACTCAAAGAGGAGCAATGAGGTAGATTTAATGTGAGTGAGCCTCTCCGCCCCCAGGGCATTTGGCAACAATTGGCTGTTGCTCTTGGGGGTAAGGATGTGTGTGCTACTGGATTCTAGTGAGCAGAAGCCACAGGTGCTGCTGACATCCCATAATGTACAGGACAACCCCTTCCACAAAAGATTGTCTGAGAAACCCCAGCCTAATGAAAGCTGGGGTAAGCTCTGGGGTGAAACTTTACCAACCGACTGCTCTCCCCTCTCAGCCTCCGTCATACAAGTGTTATACATACACAAGTGTTGAGTTGGTGCCACGGCCTGAATGTTGTGTGCCACTGCCCCCTTCAAGCCCCAATCTGTATGTTGAAATCCTAACCTGGAAGAAAATGATATAAGGCAGTGTGACCTTTAGGGGTGATTAGTTCTTCAAGGCAGAGCAATTATGATTGGGATTAGTGCCACTGATAAAAAGACCCTGGGTGGGGGGACAGTGCTGTGACATAGTGGTTAAAGCTGCCACCTACAGTGTCAGCATCCCATATGGGCATCAGTTCAAGTCCCGGCTACTCCACTTCTGATCCAGCTCTCCGCTATGGCCTGGGAAAGCAGTAACAAGATGGCCCAGTGCTTGGGCCCCTGCACCTGCATAGGTGACCTGGAAGAAGTTCCTGGCTCCTGGCTTTGGATCAGCTCAGCTCTGGCCATTGCGGCCATTTGGGAACTGAACCAGTGGATGGAAGACCTTTCTTCTCTTTCTCTCTCTCTGCCTCTCTGTAACTCTGACTTTCAAATAAATAAATAAATCTTAAAAAAAAAAAAAAAAAAAAAAAGAGGCCCCAGATGGCTCACGCCCCCTCCAGCCGTGTGAGGACATAATGAGAAGCTGCCTTCTATGAACTAGAAAGCAAGCCCTTACCGGAGACCAAATCTGTTGGTGCTTTGATACTCGACTTCCTAGCCTGCAGAACCGTGAGAAGTAAGTTCTATTGTATATAAACTACTCCGCCTATGGTATTTTTGTTGTAACAACCCCAGTGAACTAAACCACCTGGTCTTCACTACATGCCCAAGTTTATACCATGTTAAGAATATTCATAAGCTTCCATCTGGAGAGGGCTCAACCTTTGGGATAGAGAGGCCGTAATACTCGCACTCATAATAGAATTGAAGTAGGGTATACAGAAATCTACAGGATCCTATTGGCTTCAGAAACATGCGATCAAGTAAGTCATTGGCAGAGTGGCAAATATTTGTTTTAATCCACTTGTCTGAAATATTTTCCTTTTAAAAATATACATGGATCTATCTTAGTACCATATTAACACTTCTGTCTATGCCCGAACTGCAACTCTCAGCCAATGAGAGCCGGCCTGGCAGACTCTGTGGTAACCGTTGGTGGGTGAGTCAGCACCTCATTTTCTAGTGACCGTAACAAAGGGGAGTTTTGTCATGTTACTCTGAATTACATGGCCTTCCTTTGTGGTCTTTATTCTGTGCAGTTTTGATTCACAAAGATTTACAAAAGGTTGTGTGCATTATCATTCTAGACATGCCACGAATAAAAGATTATAGACTCACGCTAGATGGTAAAAAATGGGCCTTAAGGCAGTTTCTAGAATCTTCAGGGGGAAAGAGCTACCAATTGGGAACTGGTAGAAGTCTGTAAATCTCACTCCAGTCTGAGAGAAATGGTTAATGATTACCTGAATGGGAGCTGATCAGCAGTAACCAGAGGAATGGCATGATTTAGGTGGATTTGAAAAAAAAAAAAAAAAAAAAAAAAAAACCTCGACTGTCAACATACCACGCTGGATGTGTCTCAGAAGATTCCATGTTATAACCATTCTACAAGGAGTTCCCTTCAGTTAATACTACCATTTTCTTTCTCTCTTTTTAAATTACTAAACATTTACTACCACTTAAATGAAAGATCAGTTGACACAGAGGTTTTTGTTTGTTTTTGATTCTTAGGCTAAGACGGCTGAAGAGGTGATTATTGCACATGCGTTATACTCAGCCATAGCTGAGAACATTAACTGGTCCAGAATGTCACAGTTCCGGGGCAAAGGGCCACCAGGGACTGCTGCTGTCTGCATAGCAAGTCTCATAGGCGGTTTCGGCGATCTATCAGCAAGGGAAGTTTCAGATTCTCCCAGAGACAAATTGCAGATAGTAGCAGACAGTCCAACAACTGTACCAGCGTCCCGGGGTCCAGCTTCTTACTTCTTACTTTTGCTTCTTTGGCCATCATGGGTACAACCGTTAGCACTTAACTTGAATCTCTGCCTCATCTTTCTTCTTTTGTGTATCAGCCTGAACATTTGCTTCTTCCTCCACTTGGCTCTCATGGCACCAAGGGTTCCAAGAAGATGGTGCTAAAGATGAGAGAGACCCAGAATCTTAAGACAGCTCTGGGGGCCTGCGCTGTGACGTAGCGGGTTAAACCCTGGCCTGCAGTGCCAGCATCCCACATGGGCGCTGGTTCTAGTCCCAGCTGCTCCTCTTCCGATCCAGCTCTCTGCTATGGCCTGGGAAAGCAGTAGAGGATGGCCCAAGTCCTTGGGCCCCTGTACTGACATGGGAGACCGGAAGAAGCTCCTGGCTCCTGGCTTCAGATCAGCGCAGCTCCTGCTGTTGCAGCTATCTGGGGAGTGAACCAGTGGATGGAAGATACACCCCCCCCCCGCCCCGCCTCTCCTCTCTCCGTGTAACTCTGATTTTCAAATAAATAAATAAATCTTAAAAAAAAAAAAAAAAGACAGCTCTGGTGCTGGACCAGTTACTAGTGTGTCTTCTTGCACAGGTGGCAACATCTCTGATGCTTGCTTTTCTTATGGCCTTCAATGCTGCTTTTCTCTGAGATAAGAATCATCAAAATCATAGCAAACATTTATTGAACAGTTACTTTGTGCTAGGCACCATACTAAATCATTTAAATTTAATTGCTAATTTATATGTTTTTGGTTTAAAATTTTTTATCCAACATGAAATACACATTTTTATGGGGTGCAATGCAATATTTTAACATGTGTATGTAGTGGAAATCGACCAACTCAAGCAGTAAAAATTTTCATTTTCTTTTTTTTAATACTTATTTATTTATTTGAAGTCAGAGTTACACACAGAGAGAAGGAGAGGCAGAGAGAGGGAGAAAGGGGTCTTCCATCTGCTGGGTCACTCCTCAATTGGTCACAATGGCCGGAGCTGTGCCGATCAGAAACCAGGAGCCAGGAGCTTCCTCTGAGTCTCCCATGCAGGTGCAGGGGCCCAAGGACTTGGACCATCTTCTATTGCTTTCCCAGGCAATTGCAGAGAGCTGGACTGGAAGTGGCGCAGCTGGGACTAGAACGGGTGCCCATATGGGATGCCGGCACTGTAGGTGGTGGCTTTACCAGCTATGCCACAGCACCAGCCCAGGCATTTTCATTTTCTTTTCTTTATGTTTGGAGCCTACCAGTCCCTCTCTTTCAGTTCTTTATATTGCATATAATTGTTATTGTGAACTACAGTCATCTCACTGTGCTGTGGAACACTAGAACCTATTCCATCTGATTGCTTGGATAGCCAGTATCCAATCCCTCTGTCCTTTATTCTTCCACCCTTCCCAAACACTATAATCAGTAATCTAAGTTCAAACTGACATTTTCCCCCACATATGTGAAAGAATATGAGATAGTTGTCTTTCTGTCCTGGCTGATTTCACTTAACTATCTCTAGTTCCATTCATTTTGCTACAAATGTTAGGATTTCATGTTTTTTTTTTTTTAAATAAAGATCTATTTATTTATTTGAAAGGCAGAGTTACAGAGAGGCAGAGGCAGAGAGAGAGAGAGAGAGAGAGAGAGAGAGAGAGAAAGTCTTCCATCCACTAGTTCACTCTCCAGATGACCACAATTGGTCACAATAGCTGGAGCTGCACCGATCTGAAGCCAGGAGCTAGGAGCTTCTTCCGTGTCTCCCATGCAGGTTCAGGGGCCCAAGGACTTGGGTTATCTTCCACTGCTTTCCCAGGCCACAGCAGAGAGCTGGATAGGAAGTAGAGCATCCAGGACTCGAACCAGCACCCATATGGAATGCTGGCACTGCAGGCAGCAGCTTTACCAGCTACACCACAGTGTCAGCCCCAGGATTTTATTCTTTTTGTGACTAAATAATATTCCATTGTGCACATATGCCGCATTGTCTTCATCCATTCACCCATCAGTGAGTACCTAACTTGATTTCCTATCTTGGTCATTGTGAAGAGTGCTACAATGGACACGGGAGTGCAGGGAAATGTCTGACATGCTGACCCCTTTTGGATATATATACCCAGAAATGGGATAGCTGGATCGTTTGGTAGATCTACTTTTTTAGTTGTTGTTTTTGTTTGTTTTGTGTTTTTTTGTTTGCTTTCATGGCCAACTCCATACTAGTCTCCATAATGGCTGTGTTACCAGTGAATCGCAGGTTTCTTGTCTTCACGAAAGAAAGAATTCAGGCGTGAGACAGAGAGTAGTGGAAAGTAAAATAGCAAGGTTTATTAGGGAAGGGACATCCGTAAGAACGGATGGGCACCTCTCCAGACAGAACCTGGGAGAGAGTGCCCAGTTGCTCGGACTGGGGGAGAGCGAGGTTACATGGTTGAGTGGAGAGAATACACCTGGGCAGGCCAGGCGGGCGGCTCAGCAGAGAGGCAGAGGGCTGAGCGCACAGTCCGGTTGAGGCCAGGGTTTTTAAGGGGATGGGTCTTGCTTCCCCACCTCTGCTCCTCTTGGAACAAAGGACTTTTTGGATATAAACAGAAAAACTCCTATCTGAGTTTTCCCCCTGAAGTTATCAGACAGGGGGAAGCCTGACTGGCATCTCCCAGCCTTAGAGGAAGGATGGTTATCAGGTAGAAGGGCAGGGCAGGAT